CATCCATCCATCCATCCATCCATCCATCCATCCATCCATCCATCCATCCATCCATCCATCCATCCATCTTCTTCCGCTTATCCGGGGTTGGGTCGCCGGGGTAGCAGCCTCAGTAGGGAGGCCCAGATGTCCCTCTCCCCAGCCACTTGGGCCAGCTCCTCCGGGAAAATCCCAAGGCACTCCCAGGCCAGCCGAGAAACATAGTCCCTCCAGCGTGTCCTGGGACTCCCCTTGGGCCTCCTCCCGGTGGGACGTGCCTGGAACACCTCACCAGGGAGACGTCCAGGAGGCATCCTGACCAGATTTATTCAACTATTGTCACCCATTCCAGGTAAGCAATAAAAAGTTCTACTGGATTCACTTTGTATTAGTTTTTTTCCTGCTTCACAAAGGTAGGCAGCAGCTTGACAAAGCCATAATGGCAATTATTTTACATCCCAGTAGTATGGATTTCTTCATATATACACACACACATACATCAATTTCAAACAGATGGTATCGGTATCAGTATCGTCCAATACTGCACAGCCACGTATTGGTGCCAAAAAAAATGGTATCAGCGTAACACAAGTAGAAAGCTGAGTACACTCTTGCAAAGATGTGAAAGATGTTGATATGTGCAGGAAGAGAAGGTCACCTGACAAACTGATGTCTTTTATGTTCCTGCTGGATGAGTTAGTGATTTCAACACATGCTTTGACTGGCTCTCCATGATAAAACGTCTGAAGACAAAGAAACAGAAGGACAGATTTGCAATTTAAAGGTTGAAAGAGATGCAACATGACAGTACATAAACTTTAAAACTGTCTCGGAATTATTGCAAGCAGCTTAAGGAAGCATTGAAGTAAGTTGTTCAGGAGGACCTCTGAATATTTACTATGTTTTTTATTCAATGGTAAGAAGCCAGGTGAGGCAGGATTTACTAGACAGATTATAAGTTTCACAGAAGGCTTAGGGCCACTTTAAGGTAATTCCACATGCTATGGCGGGGCAGATGTACAGGTCAAGGTCTGAAAGTCTTGGTTGAAGCTACATCATATCCCAGGACACTGAAATAGAACTTTATGACCATTCAGTTATTATATCATGTTACATATTTGGCTGAAACAGAGATTCAGGATTTATTACACCTACAAGACAACAGGACAGAGGGGGTACTGTTTTATTTACCAGGTATTTACAATATGTGCCTCTAGATGTCACCACATTCCAGAAACAAATAAAAGTAAAGAGCAAATCAGGAATGAAGAGTTTATTTTGAGTCTTGGTAAGAGAAAAATGATCCCTGAGGATCAGTGATACTGGGACATCAGGTGGAAGATCTGGATAAGGGCAATGAAGGCAATAAATCCCCCTTGGTATCATTATCTGATGTCTGTGGATCCGTACTCTGGTGTACAGATGATGAGTCCAACTTTGAACGATCTAAGTACCACCCTGTTAAGTACTTCATTCTGAAGCATCTGACATAGCTGAACCTTTTGTCCTTCACTGAAGTTGAGCCAATACAATAGATAATTTGTCTCATTTGTAGTGATCTCAGAACCGGCTAAACTCACCTCTTTTGGAAGGCTGAGCTTGACATGTAGAGGTTTTTCAGACATCAGGAACTCGAAGGTCATGTCTGCGAATGGAGCCACTTCACTGATCTGTGGACTAAACTGGATCTTTCGGATGGTGAGTCGAACTGAGCTCCTACAGATAAAAAAAAACAGCAAAAGCACATAAAGAAACAATAATTGACTGTATCAATGAGTGTCAAATTGACCTGCACTTACTGTTTGTCAATCTTCTCATCCTGATTCTCTCCACAGAATGCTTTCACCTCAAACTCCACTGCACATTTCTACCCAACATAAACAGACAACCTGTGAGTCCGGACTTCATACATCAGTAGAGAAATAAAATAGATGGATAAACATCAAATTTTCGAGAGGAGGATCCGCTACCTTTCCCACATCATTTGGACTGGGTTGCAGACTGACAGAACACGGCAGGTTGTCTGGAAACTGAAAAGGTTTTAATGTAGATTAACTGGACTGAATCATTTTTTTTTCAGTTTATGTTCGAACATGTAACATAATTTGAACTGAAAATCAACATCTCTGTTTGGGTCAGATGTGAGCCTGGGTCTGACTTGAACTCAGTCCTGCCTAAGGCATCGCCAATACCTAGGTTCTCAGTCCTTGTAAATATCTTGGTCCAGTAAGATTTGAGACAGAAGTAAGACCTTTGTTCTAATGAAGACCTCAATACTTGGCTGAGTACCCTAGGTAAGGTATAATCAATAGTACAAACTAGATTTTAGCAAGCACCTAAGTCCTATTTTCTGTCCTCTTCCTGCCATGGAGCTATGAGTCATCCAGGGTCAGATCTTGGTCTATAGCACAACTCCTTCCCAAAGAACACCATCATGAACTCCCCAATTTTAACTCTCACCTCGAAGAAGAAAGGGTAGGCGTAGTCACCCAACTTGTGCAGCAGCTTTTGCTGAACCTTAGTATGGGTCAACTGCTCTTTGTCTTGCATCTCTGGGTAGACCTGCCGGGTCACCACAAAGAGGTCCCTTCTGAAGGCCACTCCCATCACATCCATATCCTGGCGACCGTATCGAAACGTGCAGGACAGCATCACATAAACTGAAAGAGAAGGAGAAATAAGAGTCATACCTTAGCTTAAGAGATAGAAGCCGTGTGTTACAGATCCTGTATCCCAAGGAACTATTTCATCCTGGAGCAGAGTGCTTTCAGAGAATGAAACTAAAACTGATAGAATGAAAATACAAATTTTGTCTCTATCTCATATTATAAACAATGAGCCCCAAATGAGACACTGAAGCTCAAAAACTATATCACTATCGATTCTCACTATTGCTAATTTCTAGGTAGAAAATACACAAAAGCTCACCCTTCTTTCCTTTCAGCTGCACTGGGTCTATCACGATAACGCCATCTGTGTGACCAGAAACAAGAGCAGTCCATGTCAGGTAATGCAACCTGTCACAATGGGCATGTGCAGAAAATGTATAGCAGTAGCAGCAAATAGGGCGCTAATCCTGTTCAAAGTTGATGCAACATGTAAAGAGTTGATAAGGAATCAATGTCAAAGCTCTCATGATTGTTGTTGATGGTCTCCCTGGCATGGAAAAACTGGTTACATAGAAACACTTTTAGTTTGTCTTTGGAGAAGAATCTAAATCCTGATGATGAAGGTAGGCAATTTGCTATACAGGAAACCTCAATAAAGAAACAGAAAATTTCAACAATAAGAAGAATCTTATGTCCAAGTCAGATCTCACTCACCGACTGGATCCACAAAGTCACAGTGGTCCACAAAGTCTCTCTTAGCCATGTAGACGGCCACCTATCAGACAAGGCAGAGGGAACTATGTAAATATAGCTACCTTGTGAAGGACTACTTTACCTGCAGATGGATTAACAAGTGGGCAGGCTTCTTGGTATAACTTACCGACTTGTCTCTCGACACCTTCTTGAAGACAATGTGTTTTGGACTCATCCTGACTGATGGGTCTTAATCTGAAAAAAAAAAAAAGTTTAATCTACAAAAGCATTTTTTCCTCATAATGCGGGGGGATATGTTCTTTGAGTGTCCCTGCTGGTTAGATTTCACTATTCTTATTCAAATAAAGTAGCCTAGTGACCAGAAAGTTGGTCTGTACAAGACCTTGACTGGGATCTAAACAGATTCCAGTTACGAAATAGACCCCACAATCCACGGGCATTGTAGGCCACAAGGAAGCAGGACCAAAAGAGATCCGAGGATCCTCTGAAAACCATAATCCACAGAGACTGTACTGTTTGTACACAACCAGAATGCGGAGTTGCACTGCCCTTTAGTAAACCCCCCCTGCCCAGAGTCTCCATTGTGTCTACAGATATCTCAAGATTCACAAAGAACTTCCACTCCAAAAACATGAGAATTCAGACATCTTAGTTTTCAAACCATCAATCATCCAAAAGGATTCAACAAGAATATAATTCCTCCAAGAACCCTGAGTCTCCTACAAGACTCAGGGCCAAATACCCTGAGTCTGTGAGACTTTAGAGAACTATTGCCCTCGTCCCCTATTATGATATGAATGTTCTTAAAGACTTAATCCTTACAGTAGAATATGTTGTACAGTCATGTTCCATCTAGATGCAGTATTATTGTCTGTGCTCAGTATTATTCCACCCTGCAGAGATTCATTTTCATGAAGATCTCTGTGTATGTGGTGCTTCCTATTGGCTCCATTTTATGACAATCATTGTAACCTGCTAGGCCACTGTTGACCAAACCCCCCTTTTTTTTAACAACACCTGGAACATGTTCAGCCGTACTTCTCTTTTTGGCAAAAAGAACAGAAAAAAAAAAACAGCAGGAAAACATTATAAAAGGAGCCACACCATCTTACCATAAGTTTTTCAGGTAAAATGCTGAAGCACCCGAACAAACCCCAGACCTGGGGAGAGAAAATACTTACATAAAGTAGCAGAGATGAGGGTGAAAAAACAGTGATAGGGAAGACTGAAACTGAAAACCGAGATGAGGAGGACCGTGACGAAGAAGCCTGTACAGCAGCTGATCACATGTATTAATAATCTCTGCACACAGCATGGTCAGCATGCTGATAATTACGCTGTAATCCTGCAGGGAGATCTGCAGCTTCTGTCTACAGCTCTGTTTACTGCATTGCATGTCCAAACGTAAACTAAAAAATCTGTGGCACGTCACACTGCTCTGTAGATCAGTTGGAGGACTTTGTTGTGTTATAAATGATGAGATCAGACCTGAAGGTCAGAATGAAACTAAAACATGAGATTAAACTGTTATATGATATCTCAGTTGCATCAGCTGTTTATATGGATGAAAATAAATGGCCCTGCTCAGCTAAACATCCGTTCCATCACCGTTCTATCGCTGTGACTGAAGGAATGATAAAACACTGCAGGTCTGCATCATTACCCATCTTCCCCTTTTGCCTTTTGGACCAAACATGCTAAAAACCATTTGTCTCCCTGGTCTAATCCTTTGACTGCTCTCCAGTTAATGTTTTCTTCTCTTGCTGCCATTAACTTTGTGTTCTCAGTTGTTTTTTCCCACAGCTGAGTTCAGATGCTTTATTAGACGTACTTTCATAGACTTAAAATATCCTTTCATCATTATCTTATACCGTACATATATCAGATGTAAGTATATTCTTTTTTTGAAGCAAGGCGAGGCGTGGCTGTCTGAGTTGCAAGGCAGAGCTGGATTTGGGTCACTCACCATGACATGACTAATGTCTCTTAATAACTGTGGCAGCTAAATCATTCACATGGTGGGTTTAACAATCTATGAATAGGTGTTTAAACAGCCCGAATGATGGAAAGTGATCAGGGACTTTATTAAGCAGTACTTAGGATGAAGGTTTTATATGGTGAGAGCTGTAGATCAGGTTGTGACACTTCAGAGCAAACTGGAATCAGGAGGAAGAGTTCACATTTAAACATAATTATAACACATTCCTCTGATTTATTTTTGTGCATAAAATAGGAGCCCAGCACAGAATGAAACAGCATTAGAGATGACCACTGCAGCATTTAATCGTGACTTTAAAATGAAAATTTGCTTTTGAATGATGACAATGAATTCAACCTTGTTATTCTGTCACCAGTCTGATGATCACAATTGTTAAACGTTTCATTAGATTTGTTTTTTTACATACAACATTGAATCAGAATGATATGTTGAATTATGACATTAACTGTAGAGNAGTGTTTGCGTTATATGACTCATCCAATTACACTAGTTTTCACTAGATATGGATGGAGCCAATGATCTGCATTGGATGGCACACATGATGGGAAATAAATATTTATAAACATTATATCAGGGGTAAGCAATTAAAAATCAGCGGGGTCCAAATAAAGTAAATGTCCGGAAACATTTTTAATTAACTGTTACTTTAAACAGAATTTAACACTGAAATAAAATGAGGTATTTATGCATCCATGTTATACATTGAATTAAAAAAAAAAATAGATAACAAAATAAAAATAGAAATTGCCAAAAATTGCATCCTATGCTAGCTCAGAGGAGTTGACCCTTGTATGGCTGTTTTCCTGTATATCCATCAGTAGTTAAAGGACAAGGGTCAGTAAATGCAAATTCGGCCTGTAAAACAATGACAGCACAATTGTCGCTGTATGATCTTAAGCCTCATTTGGAGTTTTTAAACATGCATTTGAAAAACTTTGATAATTTGCTGATGTAATATTATAGATTTTTTTTAGAATAAAAAGCTAGCAGATGTGAATAATCAAAAACAGAAATAAAATTATAGAGCATTCAGTACTGTAAGAAAGCCCACACTGTATGAGTTAAGGTCTGTCCTGTTTATGTCTCTTTCCTTGTAAGTATGAAATGCTCCATGCTCCTGAATGCACCATAGCTATCTGACGCTCGTGAGTGCATCACACTGGTCTGTGAATGCTGTGCTGTGTAGATGCGCGTTTGATTTTCCGCTTAAAACAAAGCTTTGCAGTTTCCAAACTCCCAACATCTATCACTGTTTATTGTTGTGTGTGAATAACAAGAGACTACAACAAATAAATCAGCCGTACCTCGAACAAAATCTTTGGATTTAATGTTGTTCATAACACTGCGGTCCAGTAATCCGTGACCTCTGCATTAAACCGAAGCCAAGAGTAACGAGTAACGTTTGTTGTAAAAATGTAAGGAATAGAAAGTACTGATACCTGTGTGAAAATGTAATGAGTAGAAGTCAGAAGTAGGTGGAAAAATAAGTAATGGAGTAAAGTATAGATACCTAAAAAGTGTAACGAAGTAGAAATACTTTGTTACTTGACACCTCTGCTGTAGAGGCATCAGCTTTATTATTATTTCTAAACTCTACTCAGGTATCCTTAACGATAGATTGAACTGGTACATAGAATCACATTATATAAATGTTTATTTTTTTATCATCAGTGGTTAGGAGCAGGACTACATGAAGTAAAACATACATTTGTATATTTTATTTGACTTTATTTTTGCTGATCTGGTTGCTGCAAAGAATAAAATTGCCAATCCAGCCTTGGTATTTTTTATGAGAATTTGAAGCTAAGTTTTTGTTGTATGCTAATGAGGTGGTGTAAAAAATGCAGATTGTCTTTTAACAATGATAAAACACAGCTAATTCACTTCAGAATGAAATGTAAGCAGTGAATATCCAGCCATACAAATGTATGGCTGGATATTCACATAGTCAAGTCAAGTCAAGTCAGCTTTTATTGTCACGTTCTTCATATGTACAAGACATACAAGGGAAATGAAATTACGTTTACTCTCTAGAAATATACAAATATACAAGACTGACATTTAAAAACTGACAAAGTGTGGGACATGACAGGTAACAGTGATAAGATAAACAGTGATAAGATACTAAACACCTATCTGATCCAACAGGGTGAGCTTTGATAGGTATTTAGAATAAAATCATTTATTGAGCTTTTCTGTTTTTATAACACTTTTTTTTTTTTTAATCAAATGGTTTTTATTTTTATTTTATGTTGCTGCTGTATGGGGCTTCAATGAAATGAGGCATATCAGTGCTCTTCACTTATAAACTGGGATGGCAGCCCTTCCTATTTAACTGGTTTTAAATTCCCTTTATTTATATACAGCCAATTCACAACACATGTGATGTCACGCCACGTCACAGAAACATTTAAAAAATATCATATACAGAATGGTTAAAAGTTTTCTATCTAGAAAAAAGGAAAAGCTGATTTTATCAAATCTCTGACTTTGTAAGGTACGTTCCTCATGGATGAGCATTTGGCCCCAGTAGATATTCACTTGCATGGTGTTGCTAATTCTACACCGAGCTTGCATGCAGTAACAGAGGAGAAAGAATTTTTTTTTTTTTTTTACAGGAGGAAACTTCCTTTGTGGTAAATGGACTTTACTAAGCGCTTTACACTACACTCAGTCATTTACCCATTCACACACACACTCACACTGATGGTGGCAAGCTACATTGTAGCCACAGCTGCCCTGGGGCTCACTGACAGAAGCAAGGCTGCCATACAACTGGGGCCACTGGGCCCTCTGACCACCATCAGTAGACAATGCAATCGAAGTGTCTTGCCCAAGGACACTACGACAATTAAAGTCAGAGCCGGGGCTCGAACCGACAACTCTCCGCATGCAGGGCAAACTCCTGCACCTGCACAACACTGTTTGTGTGAGCAGCCTTTTGCTGAGGCAGACTGAAAATAGAAGCACTGATCCATAAATACCTCCTACATGAGAAAAGGCAACAGTAACCTAGCTCCATAGGTGGGTCTGTCTAGGAAATAAAAGGTTAAGCAAACAAGCATTGAGACAGTATTTAAGTAAAAAGGAATGAGTAAGTAAAAAGAGCCATACAGTTAGTCACAGCAAAAGCTGAGCCCATTGCTATGTCTAGGAGAGAAACATGACTAAACGCACAAAAAAGGCCTGGCTCCATCATGTATTATTGAAGTTGTTGATGACTGCAACCCAACTGATATTTTGATGTAGGGTGGTCTCTCAGCCAAAAAGAATTAGCTGAGATGAAGCTATCTGAAATCTTATTTTTCCTCAAGTTCCTAACAGAGCACTTCACTCTCAATCTGAAGGTGTACATGCAGTTCCTTGAATTTATAAAAGTAGAATTTTGAGGCAGGTCTTTTAGTTATCAGGCTCCTCTCCTGTGGAACCAGCAACCAGTCTATGAGGCAGACACCCTGTCTACTTTTAAGACTAGATTTAAAACATCCCCTTTTTATAAAGCTTATGGTTAGAGTAGGTCAGTTTATCCTGCAGGTATCTCTACAGTTTTGCTGCTATAGGTTTAAGCTGAGGGAAGACATGAGGACTTCTTTTCATCATTCTGTTTCCTCCATATCTATTGTGTGTATGTTACACTGTGTTACATTTAGTATCTCAGCATGAGGTCTGAAGAATGATGAAGAAAATGCATGGGACTATGCATATTTTGAACAAATCCAAGCAAGTCTAAAATAACACCAAAGAGTGCATTTAAGCGAATCCTTCAATGTTGGCATGATTGTTAAAATTCCCAAATATAATCACTTTATGAGATACTAAATCAGATAGGAAGTCTCAAAACTGGTCTAAAAAGTGAGAATAAGGACCTGGTGGATGATAAAAAGTTATAAACAAAAGTGGTTTTGTTGCTTTATGGTTTGGATGGGTAAAACTTAGTATTAAATAATAAAAAGAACTCTAACTAATAACTTGCTTTGGACTAATCAGCAAATTAAACTGAAAGATTGTTGCCACTCTTCCTCCTCAGTCCATATTTCTGGGCATTCAATTAGAGGTAAAAGCCTTCATTCATGCTCACATATACATCCTGTTGAATCCAGAGTTTATGTAAAATGACATAAATCATTCAGATCATCATGCATCAAGCCATTAACTAACAAACTCTTTAAAAAAGTGGAAATGCTTTTTGTGTGGAACCGCCTCACTTGCCAGACAGATAAAAAGCTGATCAAGATTTTTTTATGGGATTATATAAATAACTAGCCTTGACCTAAATAAATTGCCATAAAATTTGCCATTTAAACTACATT